GAAATAGTTGTAGACTAATACAAGCATAAACGTCTGTGATTAGGCATAAAAATTGATTTTTATTTACCGCTAAACCTTCCCTTATGTTAAACACGCAAAATCCACGAAAATGAGTTTTATAGGTTACCTACAATTTACATTTTCTGGTACAATTTCAAAACAAAATCAGTTGGCTTTAATCGTCCTCCTCCTCCTCTTCCTCGTCATTAAAGGCTGCGTGTTGGACCACTCTAGTTTGTTCATTACAACATGCAGCACTGCCCTGACAATTGCAAAACATTGTACACGCCAGTCTACCAATGTTACAACCACAGCCCTGGGACTTGCATGGACTCTCCGAAGAACAAGAACACTTGATGAGCTTGAGTATGTAATCTGGTGCTGGGGGAGTCGTAACAGGGAGAGTGACAGGCTGTAGGGACTTAGTTTCCTCATCCCTTACCCAGCCATATTTCGTGGGATCAAGGTCTGGATGCTCTTGTAGGGCATGTCTCCAGATGCAGCACTGATGCTGAGAGGGTCTATGTCCCCCGGGGTACTGCCGGAACGTACCCTGGGTACGGTGGGGTATACCGGAACGTACCCTGGCACTATCTAATATGCCGGACCGTACCTCGCCCACTCCACTAACGAGTCTAGGGAGTCGCCTACGCCTACTCCCTAACCCTAACCCTAACCCTAACCCCAACCGTAACCCTAACCCTAACCCTAACCATATCAAATAGTGACCAGGGTACGTTTCGGTATATCGGACCGTACCCAGGGTACGTTCCGGCAGTACCCTGGGGGACATAGACGGCCCTGATGACTATGACCAGCACTGAATAGTGTGTTATTTTGACATGCTTTCTTTGAATGCTTAATTGGTGCGGTGGTCAGACAGCCACTCCTTATTTGCAGATGCACGAGCTGGTCGGTGTACTGCTTGCTCCTTCGTCTCTACCTGTCTCTTGTTTTCCAAGCTTTAAATGCTTTGACTCAGTCATGGGATGTGCACTCATGCATGTTGAGCATGCTGAGACAAAGCCTGTGTGACTGGGAGCAACACCATCATCACATCAGCAGTGCTGAATTCCAGGAGGCTCAAGCTGCATTTCCCTCATCGAAGAGTTTTGCAATCATCTTGCCCTTTAGCGATCCCCGTGGCAATGCCCGCCAACAGCGTGTCGCAACCTTCAGGGCCATGGCTGGTAACATGGCTCGTGCGGGGAATGATCACTTGGGAAAGTTTTCACTGTAGTGACTGAATATCCATAACAGCTTGCCTTTTCCTTGGTGACTGCCTTATCATAGGGATGTTAAGCTCTCTTCTGAGGTAATGGATACAGCAACACAACGTACAATCTGTGTCATCTGCCTCAACGAATGACTTTCTTCTTCGTCCTTCTGTGCTGGCATTTAATCGCCGTGTCTGTGACGGATCGGGTGTCTGCCTTCTCCGATGTCTGTCTTGAGGTCTGTTCCTGAATTACTAAGCCGTTATGGTTAGAAATCTCTACAGGCACTTCCTTGGCCGCAGTAATGACTAACGTGGTGGGGATGGCCTCCAGTAGCGGTGGCCAGGTCACCGTTTAACAGTCCTCAGCACATAATTTGGATCAGTTGCTTCTTTGTTCTGAGAGATGTTTAAAATCTGCGTTCTGTGGAGGAGCAGTGATGTGCCTGTAATTGGACACCCTACAGACCACTGGCCGTTGCTTTGCGGCTGAGACACTTTGCGCTGCTGTATTGACTATACCTGTCAAAGACGATGATCTATACACCCCCTCCTTAGGCCGCTGTTGTTATGATTCCTTTGAAACCCTCTACATAGTGGGTACTGCCCCCTCGCCGCAGTCCTCGCTTCTCCCACGGACAGCTGTACGCGAGGTGGGTTGAGCGCAACAGTTTGGAGACGCCGAGGAATCTCTAAACATTTGCACCAGAGAATAAAGACTGAAACCATTGTGTATCAAGAGGCTTTGAAAGAGTGCAACCCATTCGGTACATGCCTGTTAATACTTTTTGTATCTACACCATATACATTATGTTCCAGCCGGGTTCTAAGTTGGGTTGTGCTAGTGAACATAATGTCATTCATAACGTAACAGTTTCTTTACGCATACTTTATTATCTTAGTTACGACTGATTTGTAAATATTTGATAGGTGCACATGTATTCTCATCTTTACCCATGTCTTTGTGTCCGATTATAGTAGTACTGAATTAGTAGCACGATTTTGCAGGGGGCGCAGCGGAACCAGCAGCTGAGCTATAAATAAAGGGTATGTAGTCCAGTAAATTCCCCACCACTGCGCAGCAGTAGTTGAGGCGCATCATTGAAGTAGTGACTCTGAAGGCCCAAACTTTTAGAGAAATAAAAAAGACTATGATACCAAGCTTGCAAGGCTTCGAATCAGCAAAAAAGCCATCTTTTCTGCCGACTTCAGAATTACGCCAGGGTGTCGAGCATTCTGGCAATTTCACCCTTAATTGCTTAATTGGGTTAGATTACAGCTTTATATGTTCCCACTACATCTAGTCTTAGCCGGGACGGTTGGATGCAGATTATAATGCATGTCTTGGAATTCTCGAACAGATAGGACACAATTGTCAATTAGAATTAATACAGTATCATTTAAGTTATGTAAGGCATAACAGTTGCGCACTGTCAGCATGATTTTACTGGATTTGCTTTATTAAATTAGCATTGTCTTTGAAGGATTTTCATGACCAGATAGTGCCAGTGTAAGACCTAGGGGCACCCCTGCTCTAAGCTTTACATGGAACTTATCGTTGATATGCCAACGTTCAGTTATCTTAATCTGTTCTTAATTCTGTATGGTCAGGGCGATGGTGAAAATCTGCTCAGGTAAATTGTCAACAAAATCATGTTTTACAAGTTCAACATTTCGTAAAAAACACCTGTTAGTTGGGGATTTTCTACCTAAATCTAAAGATTGTATTTGTGCGGTTGTCATTATAGTTGCATTTTTTTGTTTTTTGCGAGCTATGTAATGTGTCCACTGTTGGCCACGCAATTCCTTGCGTCAGTGCCAGTCAGTGGGGTAGCAATATAGTTCATCTTATAGAACAGTAGAATGAAGATGTGCCCCAGCTGGCATGGTATCACTGTCTAATCTACTGACTACACCAAATTTGATTTGAATTGCATTATTCTAACTTCTTGTTTCGATGGCATGATGCAATAGTGGGTGTTCGTACAGTGAAAAGGGAAAATTCCATGATAGTTGACCAATAAATTTAATGTGGTGCTGTTCGCAACAAGGGCGTTATACCATAGCTCCTAGTTACTATTGCCCTTCAGGCCTTGCGAGATGTGAGGTCTATGAGTACTAGAAGCTATAGTGGTATTGCACTGACGTTTTTACAGCGTGAGGGCCCCATTCTATACTCGACCTGCAGGCCAAAGTCATATTATGTTTGCATCGTATTGATTGTGTCCTGTAGGATAGCCTTTTGAACATGTTTTTGCACTGTAGACATGGTAAACCCTATCAGGACTATCGTGTATCGTATAATCTGGTATTGGTATTATAATTCAGCACAAACTGGCGTTGTTTAAATATTCCTGATAATATCCTGGCGTTGTGACTTGTTCTCAGCGTTCTTATCCTGCGTGTAAAGTGAGGACTGTTTATTGTTTGGCAAGGAAGACTTCGCAGACGCTCAGACCGGTTTAACTTATGTTCAAGGTTTAACCGCCTCTGTTCAGGATAGTCTACAGCAGGTAGCACTCAGCTTGCTGATCCCACAGGTTCTGACGGTGTTTAGTAGCTACTAGTTGGCCACCCGTTCCTTAAAGGGTAGTAGACACGGTGCGCTCGAAGGATCCACGCATAGATAGCAAGATAGATGAGACACAAAAACGCAGTAATTGAGTAAAAGCTACTCATCGTATGTTCTATGTGTACCACAGAATATACTCTTAACAGGTCTACAATTAACACACTCACGAAACTCACACAGATCCTGACACACAGAGGATTACCATGATTTCGTACCTTCTTAAGGAGGTTTCGGCGAATGACGCTCAGCCAGGCGTTGCACACGGATAGAGGGTAGGAGACTGGACGGAGATTATCGCTGGAACCTGTGGTGAGCAATAACTAGGCCACGATCGGGCAGGACAACAGAAACGGACTAGCTATCGGGAGTCAAAGGATCAGAGGCAACAGTCCGCGAATTAGGAGCGGATTTTGTGGGCGAAGGAGTGTGTGTAGTATAGAAGGAATAGGATCAGGAGCGGCGGGAAAACGATGGACCATGCTGCGTCAGGGAATGAGGCCAAGTCTCTTCTCCCTGCGAGTTTGGCGTCAACAAGTCCGGTCCATAATAGATATATAATGACACCAGCATATCACCCGGCGGATATGGCGCGATTGATATTGGTGTTATATTGGTTGCTTACGCCGTGCGGCGAAGCTCATGCAGAATCATGGGAAATTATAAATGTAAACAATAAGTGTGGAAAAGCCGGCGCTTTCCTACACTTGGCGCTTTCTTACATAGTTATTATGGTGCAACAGGGCATGAAATTAGCCAAAATGTGTGCAGGCCCACCCAAAATTTAAACACGCCCTTATACAACTTGAACAGGCCCTTACAAGTTTGAACAGGCCCTTACAAGTTTAAACACGCCCTTATACAACTTGAACAGGCCCTTACAAGTTTGAACAGGCCCTTACAAGTTTGAACAGGCCCTTACAAGTTTGAACAGGCCCTTAAATTTGTTCAATTTATTCCATTATTAATAAAAGTATTAGCTTTGTATTTATTAGGCATATACACTCATAGTATTTCAATATTTCATTGCTATCAGTGGAGTTCTACTTGTTTGACAGGAATTGGTGGAACATGATTTACTTCTTAGTAGAATTTTGAGTAGGCCAAGTGGACTGATTATAGGGGGGAGGGGGGGGGGTTGAACCGGCGGCCCCCACAAAATAGCACTAATTTCACGCACTGGTGTAATCATCTTCACCCTTTTGATTATTTCAGGCGAAGGCCATGGGTGACTACCTTGTTGTTGGAGTGCACAGTGATGGTAAAAACCTATCCTAGTTCCTCCCAATGCGCCATGCGTTGTTGAAATGATATACAGTTGCGGTTGAGTGTTTATCTAATTAAAAATAATTTCAATCGTCTTCTAATGCATGCGTTCAATTTGTTAGTTAATATCATTCTAGGATGATGGTCACTTTGGGTCTTTACAGCTGAGATTTCCAAACACAAAGGACCCCCGGTCTTTTGTGAGGAGGAGAGATATAAAATGGTCCGAGCAATCAAGTGGGTGGATGAGGTATGAGCATCTTTCATTAGTTCTATTTTTAATAAAAAAAATTTAATGTAACCTGCATAGCACTAGCAGTATTAAATGATTTTAGTACAATGTGAGTAATGGCAATATTCAGTGATTTCTAAGTAGTTGGAATGTATTACTACTGGTCTAACCAATGATGGCATGTTGCAGATTCCATAACTCATAAACTCATAAACTGTGCATCTGTTGGGACGTGTAAGTTTTAACAATTAGTGTTATAGTATTAGTCGCAATGAAAAATATAATTTGACAACTTTTATGCGTGTATAACTGGGAATTGATATGACTAACACTGCATGAAGCATTGAACTTAATCGTTAGCCATCATATCTCATGGTAGTAGTTGAACTAATAATCCCAACTATTACTAATACTATGTAAATGTCTGTTTTGTAAGCTTTAGTATGTCTTCCCTGATAGTTAAATGCATGTTTGTTTTATTAACTATAGGTACCTACAGTTCCTTCTTTCTGCTTCACTGGCTGGCACAGGAGACGTCTGGTGCACTTCTGAAAAATGTTAATTTTTGATTGTAACCATATCTACAATCAAATTTGCACATTCATTATGCGATATTGCAGACACCTTGTCAGCGTTGGGGTAAAGTTGAGTAGATATGGTCGATGCACAACGTCGTTGCCCCACAATGTCAAAGTGTCGCTTGATTGAAGGTCATCTTCGTGTCTGGAGTCGTTAACAACGTTAATGTCACGTCGTGATGTGACGAGATTGAGGAATGTTAGTTGAGTTGTATGATGGGCTCTCTGATGCCATTAGACAAGCTAGTCCATAGTTTTCGTCACACTCCCTTCCCGATTCACTTATTAGGTGTTGGTTACAGAGTATTACAGGTTAGTAATTAGGGACAGACTAGGCCCAGTGATGCAGCAATTCATGATAATAGTCTTTTATCTATCATTAGACATGACTGAATGTGAGCTAGCCGTATAGACCCCTAAAAAACCGGTTTGGATTTGATTTCGATTTTGCACTAGTTTAGGGGCCCGTTGTCAGAAACAAAATTAGTCTTAAGTGCTATCTTAGAATTAACATTAGCATTAACTTTACGATGTTTCTGACAATGGCCTTTAGGTCGCTATTTAGATTTCAACAGTTCTAGAACAGTGCAGTCGGTCTCTTTCTCACTCGTTTTGTTTTATACTCTAATCACGGGCGATTCTATTGTCCTTTCTCAATTTGACATCTTGGGAGGATTCTCTTGTGCATACAAAACCAAATCATTAATTTATAACACTGTATTCTGATGGTAACGTCTCATTCATAACAAGATTGCACCACACCACGTACTAATTCTTTCACCAGCATCATTTAATAGCACTCTTCGTGATGCACCTTGTAATAACCAATCTGTTTTTCCTCATGCACTACTAATAAGTGACTTGATATCTGTAGATGACCGCAACCGTGCGCACGCATGCGCGAGTCTAAGGCGGTGTGTTATGTTGTTATGAACAGGTGGTGGAAGCAGCCCCATACGTGACCACGCCGGAGATACTCGACAAACACGGCTGCGAATTTTGCGTGCACGGAGGTAACGATTCCACGGCTGCCGCCATCAAATCGCTAGACTGATCACCCAGTTGTATATTTCAGTGTTGCTCTAAGAGCGTGGCCCGTACGCGCTCGCATGTCTGTTGATGCCTATTCCCTTCTGTGTTACGTCAACTCCAGTAGATCATTCAAACAAAGTTTGGTACGATGCTTAGGTTATCGAAGGCGCTCCCTATGTGACAACGCCGGAAACGTTAGACCTGCATGACACAGACTTCGTTGTTCACGGAGGTACTAAGCTGATAAGTAACTTCATTTGTGGTAAAAAGGAAGCTGGTTGGATCGCCCCCCTTATCGGTAAAACCGAGTCTTTTCACATCATTTAGAGTAGTCACTTACAGGGAATCCTCATTGTATCGTGAATGAGTTGTTTAAACGTGTTAATTGATGTCCTGACCACAAATTACGTATATTTCTATCATCAAGAAGAAACGCCATTGTGCTAATTGTTAGTAGTTACTCACTTATTAACGAAGTCATTATATGCACTTCTGCAACATTATTAACGTAATAAGTTGGGGGGTCTTTTACTCAAGGGAATCAAGTTCAAATATATGCTTGTTTCTAGTTCTTACAGTCATACTGTTCACAGTCTGGGCACAGTCACAATACACAGAAATCGTACTGTTAAGTTGTATGCCTAATCCTTTGAAAAGGTTTCATTATTTGTTCTGTCTTCTATGTGCCTAAAAAATTCAGTAACAACATGTCCTGTTAGGCTAAGCGTGTAGCATCTAGAAGCATGCAGTTTATTATATGAACATGTGTGTCTCTCCATCCCTTCCTCTCTCCCCTTCCTTCCTCCCTCCCTCCCTCTCTCCCCTTCCTCTCTCCCGCCCTCCCTTATGCTCTGCCATTCATGTCATCGTTTGTCCACAGATGATATTACAATGACAGCAGAAGGAATTGATACGTATCATATAGTCAAATCAGCTGGGCGGTACAAGTAAGTTAACATATGCATTCTATATCTTTGCAAAAATTGGCTGTCCAGTGACCTTTTAACCTACAAGAGAGAACCAAAATTCTATTTGCTTACTCTCAGAAGTGGTAATGCCAAATCCTTTGTTAAGTGTTAGAGTTCCATGTCAGAGCTGTTTCACAAGTGAGTTTTTATAGTGATGGGAGTTTATAGAAGCATGTAGGATGGCATACACGTTTTATGCAATACATTTGCTGTGGTCTCGGTTGATCTCGCCATGTTAATAAAAGGTGCATATATGCATGCAGCTAATCACTGGTGAATTCAAAATGTCTGCATCTGCTATAATATTTACACGTACTTACTCAAGGTGACCTGTTATCACAGCAAAGTTACCTTTAATTGTGAAGGTTATGTTTATTTGATTACTTCAATAAACATATTTATTATGCACTCAATAGTAGGCTTGGATTCGTGCACAGTCAAGCCTGTACATGAGTATCATTCAAGGGAAATGCCAAAAGTGTCATCTTTTAGGCAATTTTTCATTCCATAGAGATGTCCGCTAACATGGATTAAACGTCATCAAACTGTAAGTTGTAACCTCCGTGTGAGTTCTGTTTGTGTTGTAGAGAGTGCAAGCGCACACAGGGCGTGTCTACGACGGATCTCGTGGGACGCATGCTCCTCATGACAAAAACACATCACAAGCAAAAATACAGTGTCAGCAAGGAGGAGACGGGAGAGATCGGTGTGGTACGTAGGTCTCATACTTCTACTGCAGCTTCCTCTTCTACCATAGTACCAGAACGCGTGTGCACCGTAGCGACCCGCATCACTGTAGTGTAATATCATACTGTGAGAAGTGTGCCAAACTATATTCAAAGATTCATCACCGTTCAGGGTATTGTCATACTGTGGAAGGTGTACCTGACTTGTGTGCAAGGATGTGCATCCCTTAGAATGTTATGCCCTGGAAGGAGGACTGGACTCTAAAATGCAGCGACAAGCATTTCTTCAGTGTCGTATCGTGTTCTGGGAAGAGTACTCGACTCTATAATGCAGCGACGAGCATACTATATGGTCGTGACCTTGGGAGGAGATAACCTGACCTTGACCTGGATTCTTTATGTACATAGCAGTATTTCCCCTGGTATGTGGTAAGTGAGGCAGGCCACCTTGCTAATATCTTTATCTGCCTCGATCAGTATTAACCAGGGATGAGATTCTTCCGCGGATCCGCGGAAATCCGCGGATTTGACAGTCCCAGGGGTCGATTTTGTGAAACGTCTAAATTCGTTGAGAAAATTTGGAGGGGGGTAACAATGTAACAATTTAAATTATATACCCTCAACAGCACCTGACTGTAGACTGTAGAGTGTAGACAGTAGGCTGACAGCGAAGTATACAGTGTATCTGTTTTTGCGTACCAGAAAAGGAAATCCTCGTTCACAGGCACTTGCAGTAGAAGGGCAAACATTTGAGGTAGCTGATCACGTAACGACCATGCCTGGCCTGGGGGCCGGGTTTACATGTTGCTGTGTGCATGTTGTGTGCATGACTATGCACTGATTGTTCCATTCGCATTGTGTTTTTTTCATTCAAATCTCGTCGCAGCAAGGCTGCTTATGTCTGAGTAAAACAATGCAAGCGACGGGTGGAAACAGAAAAAGATCATTATGTCTAGACATTTAATAAAAAATTTGCCCTATTTTCAGCCCCCTGATTTCCTATTATAGTTCGTTTGTTCCTTTTGACAACTTGAAAAGGTGATTCAAGAGTCTCCTATAATGTGTTCAGAATAGCTTAGAATGCACCAAATTGCACCATTCTTTTAAAAAAAATTCCTGGGGAGCATGCCCCCGGACCCCCCTAGCATGGTAATGACCTACGGTCCTCGCATTGCTTGCTCCTCTGTTTGCTAATTAAAATTGCAGCTCAAAATTAAATGATCCAATCTCATCCCTGATTAACTGAAATTGCGACCTCGCCGCAAATTCTCGGGCCCCACCCCGAAATCATCCGGCCGACACTCTCATCAGTGCCCTCGGCACTCGCTTGCTCCTGCCACCTCGCTCGTGATTTAATCCGGGCGAAACGGATCATGGCGTATGTGTGCGTTGTGCGTCACTGCAGCGCTACCTATCCCTGCTGGCAGGACTCGAGTACGAGGAGCCCGTGGACAGGCGTCTCACAGTTCCTCCCCACCACTCAGAAGATCCTGCAGTTCTCCGCGGGCAAGGAGCCGAACCCCGGCGATCGCATCGTCTACGTCGCCGGCGCCTTCGACCTGTTCCGTATCCTCATTCACATCACGGGGCCGTGAGGCTTAGCTCGAGGCGCGGTGGGGCGGTGTTCGTAGCGAGTTTAAGTGTTGATCGTAGCGAGGTGAAGAATTGTCTGTTGTGCGGTGAGGCATTGTTCCTAGCAAGGTCAGGAGTTGTTTTTAGCGCGATTGTTCATAGCATGATGGTGTTTCTTTTAGCGTGGTGAAGCGTTTGTGGCGAGGTGAAGTGTTGTTCATAGCTAGGTGAAAGGTTTTTTGTAATGCGTTGAAGAGTTTATCGTAGCAAGTTTGAAGTGTTGTTCCTAGTGAACTGAAGTATTGTTCGAATCAGAATCCGTATTTCAGCACATGGTAAAAATTAAGAGAAATTGGGATGGAGGAGAAGAAAGAGATGTATGATACCCGGGGATGACGTGGTGGCAGAGGATGGCTGAGCACAACAGACGCGACAGTGGTTGAGCGTCGAAACAATTGCAGAAACGAAATTGCAGTGAAATGAATGAGGTGAATTCCATGAAGTGCATGTTTCGTTCCTGATAGCGAGATTTGCAGATGTAGGTCACGTCGACTTCCTAGAGATAGCAGCAGCTCAGGGTGACTACGTCATAGTGGGACTTCACCATGACCAAGTAAGCATCCCCTGTTCCCATACATCTCTACTGTGTCTATTCTCACGTTCTGCTGCCACTTGTCAGAAGTGTCATAAATACTTGCAACAATTTTTGAATGTTAGAACTTCAACATGACATTTTAGAGTTATGGTGTTATATAGGTGGCCGCTGTTTCACCAACATGCTGTAACAACGCGTTGTATTATTGCATTGTATTAAGTATTGTGTTGCTTATTGTACATATGTTATCTCTGCCTCTAGGATGTGAATAGATATAAAGGTGCAAACTTTCCCATCATGAACCTACACGAGAGAGTGCTGAGCGTCCTGGCATGTAAGGTGGGTGGCCAGAGATATATATATAGAGAGAGAGAGAGAGAATGAGAGCGAGAAAGAGGGGGGGAGAGATAGAGAGAGGGAGCGAGATAGAGGAAGCGAGACTTTTTAGAAACGTTGCGAGAAATAGCCGAGTTTCGCGCATATCTATGATATTCTCCTGTCTGATAGTGTCATTACAGTCAACCCTGTATATAAGGGTCAGTCGAGGAACCCCATCCCCAACTGTTCTTTATGTAGAGGTAGTTTAACTCTATAACTCGTTGCTACTCAAGGGAAATGGCAAAAGGGTCCTTTGTAAACAGCTGTATGTTCTAGGGGTTGTCGTCCTTTCAGCTATTGACGGGCGCTAGTGCAGGGGAAAAAAATACTTGTTTTTCACGGGAGCTCTTTTTCAAACGTCTGTGGGGAAAGTAGGTTTCTTCAAAAATTTTACGGGAGCTATTTTGAGCCTCGCGGGAGCGATTTCGGAGGTTTGAAGAGCAAATCGCTCATCGCTCCCGTGTATGTTTTACTCTGCGCTAGTGGGTTTTACTGTGTTTGTCGTCGTTACAGTACGTGTCAGAGGTGGTGATCGGTGCTCCGTATGCTGTCACTGCCGACCTCATGGATCATTTCAAGGTGGACGTGGTGTGCCACGGCACCACTGTCGTGATGCCCGACACAGACGGAGAGTCGCCCTATGCTGTAAGTCACAGGGAAAGTCGAATATGAAATTTCAATTGTTTCAGGGCACCACGGCAAGAAGGAGGTGTTCCCTATGAGGAGGGAGGTCGGAGAGGCGGGTTGAGGAGGGAGGTCAGAGAGGCGTGTTGAGGAGGGAGGTCAGAGAGGCGGGTTGAGGGAGGTCAGAGAGGCGGGTTGATGAGGGAGGTCAGAGAGGCGGGTTGATGAGGGAGGTCGGAGAGGCAGGTTGAGGAGGGAGGTTGGAGAGGCGGGTTGAGGAGGGAGGTCGGAGAGGCGGGTTGAGGAGGGAGGTCGGAGAGGCGGGTTGAGGAGGGAGGTCAGAGAGGCGGGTTGAGGAGGGAGGTCAGAGAGGCGGGTTGAGGAGGGAGGTCAGAGAGGCGGGTTGACGGAGGGAGGTCGAGAAGGCGGGTTGAGGAGGGAGTCAGAGAGGCGGTTGAGGAGAGGAGTGTCGGAGAGGCGGGTTGAGGAGGGAGGTCGGAGTAGGCGGGTTGAGGAGGGAGGTCAGAGAGGCGGGTTGATGGAGGGAGCATCGGAGAGGCGGGTTGAGGAGGGAGTCAGAGAGGCGGGTTGAGGAGGGGAGGTCGTCTGTTAAACTTTATTTCTTAATTAGGGCACGACAAAATGGAGAGTCAGTGCTGTAAGTCAAGGGGTGAAGTCGATCTCTAATCTTTAGTTTTAATTATATCAAGGCAAGTGTTGCTTGTGGTTTAATCAGATTGTTTAGGGCCCCAGGGCAGGATAGAGGTGCACCAAGTTGTACATCTGCTTCAAAGAAGAGTTATTAACACAAATTACTTTTTCCCAATACTATTCACATGGGACAGTGATACATGTGCTATATGGGATTTGTAGGAAGGGCGTGGATGCATACTAGGTAGAACATCCACGGCAGTTTTGGCAAATTTTTATGGGTACTCCCGGCAAGTAAAGCGCAACTGCAGCACTTGCTGGAAAAATTCAGTGGAGCCCTGAAATCGCCTCTACCTCAGCACTCGTGCTGGTACTGGTAGTGGACTTTAATGTCACTTACTATAACATGTGAACGCAAACACCCTGTGACTTGTAAGCTCAGAGCTGCAGTCCTCCCTTAACTTTTACCTAGGTGCGCTTGATGCAAGCTAATAGGTGTTCGGGTCGTGTCTATTGAGTTAATGCCGCTAGTGGCGGATGCGCAGGTGTAGGGTCCCTATATACAGAGAAGTTGCTCGGCCACTCAGGGAGTTTGACGGCCATGATTGTTTCCAAATGGACAACACCAGCTGCGCTTTAAGTACTGCGCTGTATGGATACGCCTGTACAATGGTCGCGGAGTAATAATTAGACTAATCGGCTTTTCATAAACTCAAAAATTAACAGAGATTATATGCTAAGCATAGTGTTCATAAATGTGTAGCTAGATTTATAGAATGTAACTCAAATTCGTTCGTGCCATATGATAGTAACACTTTCTTACCGCCAAGTAGCCGATGCGTATATAGCCTGTGGCGATATCCGCGCAACTGTAATTCACTGATAAATGGCGTTCCACTCTCGCACTTGCTTGCAGCTGTAATAGTTTTGTTTTGTCAGTTCTATAAATCTAGCTACACATAGACCAGTCCTTAGCCCTATAATCTCTGTAAATCTTGAGTTTATTTTGAAGCACGATTAGGTCTATTAATTTACTACGGACATTGTACAGCGTATCCATACAGCGCTGTCCTTAAGCGGCAGCGTGTGGATGCCATTTGGAAACAAACATGCGGCAAGCGATCAGTGAACGACGATTTTTTCCGACTCGCTCAGGCGCAACTCTCTGTATAACAGCGGACCCTAGCGCAGGGTATCAGTCACGTGAATCGACACGTCAGCCTGCCAGACCGATTCAGTGGGAATCCATGTTTGTATGTCGACGTGTGGTGGAACTTCATCCTTAGTTTAATGCGAGGTTATGATCGTGTAACTGTGTTGCAGGAGCCATTGCGACGTGGAAAGTTCAAGTTGATCAACAGTGGCAGCGGGATGACGACAAAGACGATTGTTGATCGCATCATTGCTCACAGGTGCGTGGCCAGCTAGTAGGTGAAGGTGGTACATACAGGTAAACTGTGAGTGATTCACGTAGGTAAACTAGGTGATTCACGCAGGTAAACTGTGAGTGATTCACGTAGGTAAACTAGGTGATTCACGCAGGTAAACTGTGAGTGATTCACGTAGGTAAACTGTGAGTGATTCACGCAGGTAAACTGTGAGTGATTCACGTAGGTAAACTAGGTGATTCACGCAGGTAAACTGTGAGTGATTCACGTAGGTAAACTGTGAGTGATTCACGCAGGTAAACTGTGAGTGATTCACGTAGGTAAACTAGGTGATTCACGTAGGTAAACTGTGAGTGATTCACGTATGGTATAACTAGGTGATTCACGCAGGGTAAATGTGAGTGTAGTTCACGTTAGGTAAACTAGGTGATTCACACAGGTAAATCGTTGTGAGTTGCATTCACGTAGGTAAACTGAGTGATTCACGCAGGTAAACTGTGAGTGATTCACGCAGGTAAACTGTGAGTGATTCACGCAGGTAAACTGTGAGTGATTCACGCAGGTAAACTGTGAGTGATTCACGCAGGGTAAAACTGTGAGTGATTCACGCAGGTAAAATCTGTGAGTGCATTCACGCAGTAAACATGTGAGTGATTCACGCAGGTAAGCGTGTGAGGTGATTCACGTAGGTAAAACTAGGTGATTCACGGCAGGTAAACTGTGAGTGATTCACGTAGGTAAACTGTGAGTGATTCGACGCCAGGTAAACCTGTGAGTGATTCACGTAGGTAACTAAGGTGATCACGTAAGGTAAAACTGTAGTGATTCAGCGTAGGTAAAACTTGAGTGATTCACGTAGGTAAACTAGGTGATTCACGCAGGTAAAACTGTGAGTGCATCACGTAGCGTAAACTAGGTGATGTCACACAGGTAAACTTAGGTGATTCCACGTAGGTAAACTAGGTGATTCACGCAGGTAACTGTGAGTGATTCACGTAGGTAAACTGTGAGTGATTCACGCAGGTAACTGTGAGCTGATTCACGCAGGTAAAACTGTGAAGTGATTCCGAGGTAAACTGTGAGTGATTCACCGGCAGGTAAACTAGGATGATTCACGTAGGTAAACTAGGTGATTCACGCAGGTAAACTGTGAGTGATTTGCACGTAGGTAAACTGTGTGGATTCACGTAGGTAACTAGGTGTTCACGCCAGAGCTAAACTGTGAGTGATTCACGTAGGTAACTAGGTGTATTGCTTATTATATCGTCCGCAGGTAAACTGTGAGTGATTCACGCAGTAAACTAGGTGATTCACGCTAGGTAAAACTGTGAGTGATTCACGTAGATAACTAGGTGATTCACGCCATAAACTGGAGTGATTCACGTTAGGTAACTGTGTGTGGATTCACGTAAGGTAACTAGGTGATTCACCAGGTAAACTGTGAGTGAGTTCACGTAGGTAAAGCTAGGTGCATTCACGCACGGTAAACTGTATTGAATTCACAGTACGGTAAACTAGGTGGATTCACGCAGTAAACAAGTAAAAACTGTGAGCTGATTCACGTAGGTAAACTGCTGAGTGATTCACGCAGGTTAACTGTGAGTGATATCACGTAGTGTAAACTAGGTGATTCAACGCTAAGGTAAACTGTGGTGAATTCACGCTAGCGTAAACTAGGTGATTCACGCAGGCTAAACTGTGGAGTGATTCACGCAGGTAAGTGTAGGTGCGTTCAGCAGCAGCGAGCGTACAGTGCTCTCCGTGTTCTGCCTGTCGCGCGTCATGTTCTAACGCATGTGTTGATACGTGTGTTTTCACAGGTTGGAGTTCACGCTGCGCAATGAGAGAAGGAGAAAAGGAGAAGGCAGCGTAACGAGGCATTTGTGAACAAACGCGCGCAGCGAGAGTGGGGTCACGCTGGATGAGGTCAGAGCACGCTCCATAGTGGAGCGAGGAAAAGTTAGCCGATAGTTGTTGTAGGGCTCGCATCATTCTCTCTCTCTAGCTGTTTTTTTGTACACTTACTGCCCCCTTTCACAACACACACGGCACAGGTGAATAAAAGATGCATATGCTACATACACACGTGCCGAATATGCACACCACGAGCGAATGACACACACACATGACCACACACGAGCTGACTACACACACACATGATGCACACACGAGCGAATACACACATATATGCACACACGAGCGACTACACACACACGAGCAAATACACTCACACACGTATGCGCACACGAGTGAATACACACACACATATGCACACACGAGCGAATACATACACACACACATGCACACACGAGCGACTACACACACATATGCACACACGAGCAAATACACTCACACACGTATGTGCACACGAGTGAATACACACACATATATGCACACACGAGCGACTACACACACATACATGCACACACGAGCGACTACACACACACATATGCACACACGAGCGAATACATACACACACACACACACACCACACGAGCGAATAACATACACGACATTGCATGCACAACACGAGCCGAATACGACACACACACCATGGACACACGAGCGAATACAGCACACACACACATGAGCACCAGCGAGCGACTACACACACATACATATGCACACACGAGCGACTACACACACACACATATGCACACACGAGCGAATACACACACACACATATGCACACACGAGCGACTACACACACACACATATGCACACACGAGCGAATACACACACACACATGGACACACGAGCGAATACATACACACATATGCACACACGAGAGCGAATACACACACACGTATGCACGCACGAGAGCGAATACACACACACGTATGCACACACGAGCGAATACACACACACTTGAGCGAATTCACACGCTTGAATGTAAACCCACGTAGGCGAATTCACATGCATGCATTAATGGGCACGCACGCACGCATGGGTAAATGCAATGCATATATACGTACGTACATGCACATGCACGCACTCACGCACGCACACACGGTATATGTCTGCGATTTTGCTTATCTGTCTGGCATGTCTAGGTTTTGTCATTCATCTTGAATATTGTCAAGAAATTGTGTAGTCTGGTTGTAGGGAGGTTGGTGTGCTGCAGGTATCTGCTGCTGAGGCAATCATAATCACTGTGAATGTTGTTACTATTTGCTCAATTTTATGAGTAAACAATCGATGTTTGTGACTAGTATATTTTTCTGTTGTGTTAAAATATCTATGCTGTTTATGTGTTTGGATAGTTTGAATTCTTAGTCAGAAGTAATTATTTCGGAGATATTTTTAAAATAATTTGTCGGGAGGGGTTGTCGAAGTAAGTGGTAGGAGCATAGGTTGTGTACTGTACATGATGTGCTGGTATATCTGGAACATATCTAAATTGTATTTGTACAGATATGCTCGTGTCTGTATGGATGCCTAAAACAAACGCTGGCCATATTTGAACACAGAACACAATCCGTCGGTGATATTATTACTCTAGCTGTGATTTAACAACGTGTTTTTTAAGTTGTCCACGTCGAATCGGTGTTCGTGTGTTTCCGTTTCAACACGTTTGCCACCTTGTTATGGCTCACTGTTTCAACATGTCCATCGTCTTATTACGACTCATTGTTTCAACATGTCTGTCATCTTTTTTACAGCTCGCTGTTTAAATATTTACATATGTCTGCTCTCTTGTTACGGCTCCTCTTTCAGGATGTGTGCTTTCTTGTTAACAGCTCACTGTTTCAACACGACTGCCGTCTTGATACTCCTCAGTGTGCATATGTTACTGTCCATCACAAGTATTAATTGTAACACGAACGTGTTTGTGATTGAGTGTTCAAGTGTGGAGTTGAATCAAAAACGATGGTTATTTGAAACCTTCATTCTCTTTAAACTGGCAAATTATTTCTCATAATTATAGAAAAGCGTGTAATAATATGTTATCATGCACTTATAGTATTATTCACAAATGTTCAACATGGTTATATATATCCTAAGAGTATACAGTATATAAATGCGTCCGATTATTGATGTTACCTTTAAGTCTACATAAAGAGGATGGTCTATGCACATCTTAGTGTTTGACATATAGTTAAGGGTAGATTATTTATAGGTTTTCACTCTAATCTTTAAAGGTCGTTGTGCGAATTTTTATTGACAATCCCTGTAACTAGAATGCTTGAAAATGTCATTAAAGGCTGAGACGATCCTTTGTCAGATTATTTGTGTAACGTGTAGTAAGAGTATACATTATAAAGTATGTAACTACAGAACAAACCCAGTTACATTTTTTGTTTGGAAGCGCATTTCTGCAGACGTGTATTTGTATCGTGTGCGCGGCGGCGGTGCACCTCATTGGGAAGCAGGGATAATGGGGGGAGGGGGGGGCGAAGAAATGTTGTGCAGCCAGTGCGTTGCAGTCTGGGATCCATCGCCAAACGAACGATGACAGGGTTGGCTAAGTTTACACGCGAATGCGTGCGTGAGTGTGTGTGAGCGTGTGAATGTGCGTGCGTGCGTGAGTGTGTGTGTGAGCGTGCGTGCGTGCTCGGGAAGAAAGGTCGAAGAGGCGGTTGAGGAGGGAGGTCGAGAGAGCGGGTTTGAGGAGGGAGGTCAGAGAGGCCGGTTGAGAGAGGGGGAGGTCAGAGAAGGCGGGTTGAAGGAGGGAGTTGGAAGAGGCAGGTTGAGGAGGGGAGGTCAGAGAGGCGGGTTGAAGGAGGAGGTTCAGAGAGGCGGGTTTGAGGAAGGAGGTCGGAGAAGGCGGGTTGAGGAGGGAGGATCAGAGAGGAGCAGGGTTGAGGAGGGAGGTCAGAGAGGCGGGTTGAGGAGGGAGGGGTCGGAGAAGGCGGGTTGAGGAGGGAGGTCAGGAGAGGCGGGTTGAAGGAGGGAGGTCGGAGAGGCGGGCGGTTGAGGAGGGAGGGTCAGAGAGGGCGGGTTAAAGGAGGGAAGGTCAGTAGCGAGGCCGGTTGAGGAGGGAGGTCAGGATAGGCGGGTTGAGGGAGGGAGGTCAGAGAGGC